TAGTTTCATAAAACTTTTTCTAGAAGCCTAGACTCAATGACTACAGCCATTGTACTGTTTAATTTGCAAAGGAAGATCTCAAAGTCACATCAGGGCCACTATGTTGAAAGTTCTTGGGAGACTTAATCACTTTTGCCACTGAGACCAGAACCTACAAATTAGGTGGCAGAAAGTAGTTGTCACCAGCTGTTTTTCAAAACAGGACAGGATTTCACCAATATTTCCTTTTTCTTTAACATTTATTTCTTTTGCTCACTTATCTCTCTTCCCTCCCTCCTGTGTGTTCTTATTTCTTCCTGTTTCCCACCTTTTCTTCTTTCCTTCTCTTGCTATCTTCTCAGCTCTGAAGATTTCAACCTACTGACTCCTAGCAAACCTGTGAACAAATCTGAACCTTCCTTGCCCTATCCTGTACCATCCTCACATTTCTGATACTCTCATGCCTGTTGTTACAGTCACCATGCTAATCCCTCTTGTTGAGAATCTTCCTCCCTTTCCCTGACCCTCCATCTTTCCCACTATGTGATGCCTCCTGAAAACATGGCCAAAGTATGTGAGATGAAGCTTCACTGTTTTTGCCTTTAAGAGCACTCTGGTTACACTTCTTCCAAGACAGATTTGCTTGTTCTTTTGGCAGTCCATGGGATATTTAATACTCTTCTGCATCACTATAACTCAAAGGCATCAATTTTTCTTCTGTCATCCTTATTCACTGTCCAACTTTCAGATTCCTAGGAAGTAATTGAAAATATCATACTTGGATCAGGTACACTTTAATCTTTAAATTTTAAAACTAATACCATTGCTCCTTAGCACTTTACAGATGTTCCCAATGGAGCGCTTTTTTTTTTAAAAAAAAAATTTCTTGACTTCTCCCAGATGCTCTTCTGGATAAGGAGGGACAATCTCCTCCTGTATCAGTTAGATCTGATTTGATGGTACATGCACAAAAAATAATAAAATAATAAAATTAAATAAAAAGAGAAAAATGTCTTGACTTCTCATGACTGTTGATTGTGGATCCAAGTAAAATGAAATTATTAACAAATTTAACCTTTCCCCATTTATCACAATGTTGCCTATTAGTCCAACGGTGAGGATTTTTGTTTTCTTGATGTTGAAATATAATCCATATTGAAGGCTGTAGTCTTTGATCTTCTGCAAGTTCTTAACGTTTTCTTCACTTTTCAGCAAACAAGGTTGTATCATCTGCATAATGTAGGTTGATGAGTCTTCCAATCTTGATGTCACATTGTTTTTTATATAATCCAGTTTCTTGAAAGATTTGTTCAGCATACAAATTGAATTGGTATCAAGAAAAGATATAACCCTGACACAAACCTTTCATTATTTTAAATATTATGATGTTCTTTTGTTATTTCCAGACAACAGCTTCTTGGTCTTTGTTTTTTCATAAGCATGATAAAGTGTTCTGGGGTTCTTATTCTTCTCAATGTTAGCCATAATTTGTTATAATCCACACAGTCAAATGGCTTTGCACAGTGAATGAAACACAGGTAAACTCCTTTCTGGTATTTTTATTTTTAAGCTAATATACATGTACATAGCTTGTACATAGGGTTTTCAGAGGCCTGCTGTTTCAGAAGTGGATGGCCAATCCTTCTTCCTAGTCTGTCTTAATCTGAATGTTCAGATTTAGAGAAGTATCAGACAGACCAGCATTATATAGAAAAAGTGAAAGATATATCCCTTATTGTGGACTTAACCATTAGTGTCAGTGTTGTCCCTGCCTTTGGCACACGGGTCTTTACCTACTTATTTCCCAGCTCCACCATCCACCAGGATACCCATCCACTTCTACCCACTCCTTTCACATCTATCTCCCGATGACAAGCCCTTGATCTGATAGCTTATATCTGAAGCTTCCTTGGCTTCTGTGATTCCAAATACGTCAGCTGCTGGTAGTTTCTTATGTTGTGACCAGTGTCTCTGAGTTTAGTGGTAATGACACAACCCTGCTTACTTAAACTGACGAGGACCTGGAACACCTGCTGCAGAGGGTCAAAGACTGCAGCCTCCAATATGGATTGAGGCTCAATGTGAAGAAGACAAAGATTCTCACCACTGGACCAGTTGGCAGCATCAGGATGGATGGTGAAGAGATTGAGCTTGTTCACAGCTTTAGTTTGTATGGCTCCACAGTCAACACTCTTGGCACCAGTAGCCAGGAAATGAAAGGGCACATTGCCATGGGAAAGTCTGCTGTTAGGGACCTCTCCAAAGTGCTGAAGAGCAATGGTGTCACTCTGGAGACTAAGGTGTGTCTGATACCGGCCATGGTCTTTGCAATCACTTGTTATGCATCAGAGAGTTGGACAATGACTAAGGAGGATAAAAGGAGAATTGATGCCTTTGAGCTGTGGTGCTGGAGAAGAGTATTGAATATGCCATGGATTGCTAGGAAAACAGATTCATCCTGGAATGGGTTAAACCGGATGGCCCCTTGGAGGTAAGGATTCTGAGGCTCCATCTAACATACTTTGGACATGTTGTAAGGAGAGACCAGTCCTTGGAGAAGGACATCATGCTTGGGAGGGTGGAGGGACAGTGTAGGAGGGGAAGGCCCTCTATGAGGTGGATTGATTCAGTGACAGGGATAATTGGGATGGGAGTGTCAGAGACAGTGCAATTGGCACAGGATAGAGCAGAGTTTAGGGCTGTTGTACATAAGGTCACTATGAGTCGCAAGCTACTCGACGGCACATAACAACAACAATATACATATGACATCAGCAAATGATATCCCTGTCAGCAAAAAATATCCCTTTTTCCACAGCTTTTTCTAAATCCAGCTTGAACTTCTGGCAGCTCCCTATTGGTGTACTGTTCTAACCATTTTTTTTAACCATTTCATTTAATAACCATTTTTGAATAATCTTCAGCAAGATTTTACTTGCATGTGATATTAAAGGTATTGTATAACAGTTTCCATATCTGTTGGAAATGCATATATAACATAATTTCTGGGACAGCGCAGGAGGGGAAGACCTTCTATGAGGTGGATTGATTCAGTGACTGGGGTAATCGGGATGGGTGTGTCAGAGGCATTGCGATTGGCACATGATAGAGCAGGGTTTAGGGCTGTTGTGCATAGGGTCTCTATGAGTTGCAAACGACTGGACAGCACATAACAACAACAAACAACATCACATATTTATTGCAAAAACATTTTTGTTTCTGAATAGTCCTATTGGATGTAATAGGAGACCCAGTATTGTGTTTCTGACAATGACAACAGGTTGTAATAGAGGATACAGTTCCATCACATTTTCTTTCTTTTTTTAAAATTATTTTATTATTTTGTGTGTGTCTGTACCGTCAAATCAGATCCGACAGGTACAGGAGGAGATTGCCCTTCCTTTTCTGGCAGAGCATCTGGTGGATTCGAACTGCATATCTCTGGGATTGCAGTAACATTTTCTTATATGTAGGAATACAAACTTCTATAATCCTTTCTGGCACTACAGTCAGTTTTACACATCACAGTTTGGGGTGAGGGTTCACAAATAAATAAAATATTCCCTCTCTCTACCTAGAAATTACCTTCTGTCTGGCAAGACAAGTAGTCTAATTTGGGTTAAACATTTAAACATAGAAGCCTGAATAGTTAAAATGCTCACTGCTAAGTGAGTGTTCTAGACCAGTACTTTTCATGGTTGTGGTTTGTGGGCCAGTGCCAGTTTCTGAACTATTTGCTAAGTTTGTGGTGGGATAAATATATACCTTGAGAAAAACTGGTTAGAAGCTTTTGAAGCAATTTATCATTGCCACAGTAGCCAAACCTGTGCTAAGTGAACTCAATTCATTGAGTAAAAGTACAAAACAACACTGAACTCTTGGTTCTTCATCACAGATAGTTTGAGAAGCATTAGTCTAAATGAGTGTTATGTGATGTGGGGTGGTCAAGAATAAGTTTGTGGACCTTGAGGTACTTGAAAAATAGAATTGACTATGGAGAAATAAAGCAACGAAGCTATTCCAAGCAGAGAGAAATGTGAGACCAAAGACTGAAAGGTAGAGGGCATAGATGCATTAGTGAATAGTATATATAGACCATCCTTTCTGGTTAGGTTAGAGTGACATGAGAGGGAGGAGATGGTTAGAATTGGGGTTAGACAAGTTTGCACTACATATCTCTAGGCTATCTTTGGTTCCAGGCTCATCATCTATGACTTTTTTTCTGTGGCCATGCCTAGTCATTTAAGCCTTCTGAGAGTAAAATGGACCACAAGTATAGAAGATGTGTAAGAGGTAGACATAAGTTGGTGGGAAGGGTGGTTGTTAAAAAATCGAAATTAGATAAGCCAAGGAATGATAGTGTGAATCTTACTTTTTCAAAGGGAAGGTTAGAAAATTTTAATCTTCTGATTGACCCACCAGGGTCCATGTTTCCTAAGCCTGAGGTGGAGCAGGATGAGGAACGGAGGGTTTGTGAAGATCCAAGACCCTCTAATGTGGGACTGATTCCACCCTTTTCTACAGGTAAGAGGACTGTAACCAAGCAGAAGAGAAAATTTGGTGGGTTTTCAATATTTGGGAAAGATATTGAGGGAGGGGGAAATAATCTATTCTTTAATTTTTCTTCTTTAGTCATATATTTTCCCAATGTTACTATAGAGAAAATTCAGCTTTGAACCTCCATCCCACCCCCCATACCTCTTGATAGAAATGAGTTGACTTCTTTTGTTTTGAGAGCCTACATCTCAAACTAGGACATACAGCTCTTCATTTACATTTTTTTGGAAAGTTTAATTTTATTATTTTGTGTGTGTGTGCCGTCAAATCAGATCTGACTGGCACAGGAGGAGATTGCTCCTCCTTCTCAGCAGAACATCTGGTGGATTTGAACCACACAACTCTGGAATTGCAGTGCAGCTTCTTGCCACCAGAGCTCACCTCTTCATTTACATTTAAGTACGTTCTCAACCCTCTCTAACTGGCCTCTCTCCTGTGAAGGTGCCCCACCTGAAACCCCTGCCATGCTGAAGGAGAGCTCAGCCCTATCCAGTGGGGACGAGTCACCGAGGGAGCCTCCAGACAATATTGACTACTGGTGCACCTCCGAGAGCAAGGAGCTGATACCCTGTGCTGCTGCTGACAGTTCCCTGCCACAGCTTGCCCCTCCTGACCTGCTTAAGCCTTACCAGCTTCTGCAGTGTGACAAGACCTTCAGCCATAGCTCCAACTTGAAGAGCCAGGAAGGTGGCCACAGCGTCAGGAAGCAGTTCCAATGTCCACACTGCAACCAGTGCCTGAGCTGGCGCTCGGAATTGATATGCCATCTGCGCACACACAGCGGGGAGCGGCCTTTCGTGTGCGAGCTGTGCGGGAAGGCCTTTGGCTGCAGCTCCGATTTCTTGTACCACCATTGCACACACACTGGTGAACAGCCATTTCTGTGCCTCGAGTGCTCACAGAGCTTCAGGAGCAGCTCGGAGCTGGCCAGGCACCGGCAGATGCACAAGGGTGAACGGCCCTTCATTTGTGCTGATTGTGGTCACGGTTTCAGCCGCAGTTCACTGCTGCTCATTCACCAGCGCATCCACACTGGGGAGCTGCCCTACCGCTGCAGCGACTGTGGCAAGTGCTTCCGCATCGCCCAAGGCTTGGCTAAGCACCGGCGCATCCACACTGGCGAGAAGCCCTTCAAGTGCCTGTTTTGTAACAAATGTTTTACTAATAGCGCCAACCTCGTCACGCATCGGCGAGTCCACACTGGCGAGAAGCCCTACGAATGTCCTGATTGTGGCAAGCGTTTCAGACAGAGCACACACCTCGTTGCCCACCAGAGGGCGCACACGGGCGAACTCCTCTACAGCTGTGGCAGCTGTGGCAAGGGCTTCGGCAGCCGCGCCTGCTTCCTCCGGCACTGCCAGAACCACGATCGGGAGGGAGAAGTCAGTGGGTGGGAAGAGTTTCAGTCAGAAGAACAACCTAATGATGCACCCTTAACTGCACAAGATTGACAAGCAGATGGGAGTGGCATCTTGTGGCCTGCCCTGCCCTGGGCCTGGATCCTTAAGGCTCTTCTTTGGGGCTGAGATACAGCTCATTATGGAAGACAGCACATGCAACTCATTTCTAGAGGGCTAGGTTAGGACCTTACACCTCCACAGTGGGAATTGTCAAGGGAGTATTTGGGATTCCAGCAGAATGTAATCCATGTAGGAAGTGGGGGAGAGGAACTTGACCTGTTTTCCCCTAGGCACTTTGAAGTGATATGCGTACCTCCATGCAAAGACCTTGGGTTGCATGGTGGCTAATAGGGGTCCCTGAGACTCAGGCCTTTTGCTCTGCCCTAGAACTACTCACGTGGGGCCCTGAGAGGTCAGCAGGCAACAAGGACCTAGGTGTTTGGTTTGGGAGCTTTAGATACTGAGCCAAAAATAGCTGCATCTATGGGGCTGGGGGTGAAAAAAAAATCACCTTTTTGAAGAGTTTTCTCACTGCTCTAACTTGATTAGTCTTAGAGTTTTCACCTTGTACCTTAGATAGAATTATTGTTCTACCTCATTTGATGATGTTAAAAAGGGAGGAGAAGGTATATCATTTTGAGGTGGTCTTCTATGTTCTACCCCTTAAATGATCTGGGCTGTATAGCCTTGGTGCCTTCATTTGCATCAGTTAGCCCATCAGCTTGCTGTCTCCTTGATCTGTTCAGATCTTCACCGTTCAATTAAGATGCCAAGATACTCTGAGGTTTAGTGTCACGGCACAATGGATAGGATTTTTAATATAATTGCACTATGTACTTTTCCAGCTGGTGGCATTTACTGTTTAGGTTTCCCACTGGGAAAGGATGTGGGAGTTGGGTAATTTCTAATATTGTTTTATTCTTGTCTTTGATGAAACTCAGGGTTGATGTCAAATGTAAATCAAATGATGTCAAATAGTGTTAATGACCCTAACTTCCTCCCAGTACTATAGTGCTTCCCAACTGAATTGCTAAGAACGGTTAAGTTGTGAGTTGGAAATGGTATTCATTTTCAGTCCTTTCCTAGAAAACAAGACTTGGATAAAAAGCCACTGTCAAGTTGATGCTAACTCATGGTCACCTTCCATTGTGTTTCTAAGGCCCTTCTTTATGGGAGGAGACCACCCATCTTTTTCCCTCAGATTTGAACTTCTGACCTTTCGTTAGCAGCACAAATTGTGAAGCACAAAACCACGAGAGCTCACTTTCTAGGGGTGGAAGCTAATTACAAATTTCACATGAACCCACCTCCTGGAGTGTGGTCCTACCTGCTACTTTATTGGGCACCAGTTACTCCCTGCATAGAACTATCTTTTCATTGAAAGAAGAAAGCCAGTTTCAGTCTTGGAGTTGGTAGAGGCCAACACTTTTTTACAAATTTATTTTTAAAAAATTTATTTTTTACAAATAATTTTATCTTGCTTTACTAAATCACACGTACTTTCTAGAGGTTAGCAGTTTCTAGGCAGAAGCATAATTGTGTAGTAGTGTGCACTTTACTCCTAAGTGAGGCTATCAACATTATTCTGCCATCATGTGGCCAAGATGGGAAACTGCATTTTCAAAACGGTGCACTCTGGTCTTTCTGTAGCCTATTTCCCTTGAATTGGGGTTCCAGTGCAATTGTATTCTGATTTTAGCAGACTCTGAGTTGCCTGACTGAATGCCGAAGAGTTTGAATTATTACCTAGAGAATTTCTGATTCAGTACATCTGGGGAAGAGCTGGAGGAGACTTTATATTTCTAGTTATCAGCTGATGCTGTTGCTGCTGGTGCAAGGATCACATTTTGAGAATCCTGGCCTATTGTAAGAAGCTCTGATGGCAACTGTGGTTAAAACATATGGCTACTAAGCAAAAGATTGGCTGAACCCATTATCTGCAAAATAAAAAAGATGAGGCAATCTACTTCTGTAATCCCTCCTTGGATTCCTGAAAGAGCAGTTCTTTTCTGCCCTGCTGGGAGTGGAAATTGACTTGATGGTAGTGAGTTTGGACCAGGGAAACTGTTTCGAGCTCCTACCTCCAGCATCACAGATTTCTACCCGATTCAAAAGAAAAAGTGATTGATTATTCCAGTATGTGCAAATTATTGCCAAGAGGTGGTGTGTGAAAACATTTGTTAGCCTCTAAGGGGTTTCTGTAAAATTAAGTTTCTCTATTAAGTCATGAAGAAAGCACGGAAATGTGTTAGGAAATAAGGAGTGGAGGTGAGATCTTGTTCAGCCAAGAAGAACCAGATTTTTTATTGGAGCAAAATTGTAAGATGGGCACAATTGGTCAGTCACATGAACAACTTTCACAATCATTCCTCTCGCTGGTGGCTTACCTCTAGCTGTTCTCTCTGTGTTCCAGGTCCAAATCTGTGAAGCCTTGCTCCTTTATGTGGAAAATGATAAATGGCTCAGATAATGCCCCTTTTAGAAATTCCTGAAATAAAAAATAATCCACGAACCAGGCACAATACTCATGGCCCTGCCTAAGACACTGTAACCTCATGCATATATATTAGATGTGAAATGTTTGGATACAACTCACAGATAAGATAATTTACCAGAAGAGCTAGAACTTGGGAAACAGGTGTCATCTACTCTCGGTCCTTCAACACGGGGGAGAGTAGATCTTGATTATCTGAGGGTATCGCCAAATAGATGGCTTCTATGTGTCTTTTCCTTCTCTACTGATAAACACACATGTGACTGAAAATTTCTGTGTGAATAATATGCAGATAACCTATTCAGCTGGTTCCTTTTTGTGCTCAGGGTTATAGTTCTGAATTTCAAATTTGCTTATTTTGGCTATCATGTCAACCAAATACACATGCTTGTATTTAGCCAGGATTAATGCAGTTGAAGTGTTCTTGGGTGGCATTTGGAAGAAAAGCCTGTTTCTGAAAGGTCACATTGTAAAGAGTGTGGTTCTACTCTGCCACTTGTGGAATTGCCATTAACTGGAATACTTGACTGACCTGGAATTCAGTTCAAGAACTGGTTGGTAGAGATAGTAAGGAAGGAGCATTCATTAAAATCTTCTCTTTGATGCTCTGTAAGAAAATGAGAAGGAACAAAGACTTCTTAGGGAAAGAGACAAAGAATAGTGAAGCTGGAACACAACACAGCTCATCTGTCCCCAGTTTATTGATGCTGCTGCTGCAAGCCAGAAAGGTAATAGGGATTACTCTAGGTCATGTTACTCTGCAGTAACATGCGATATTTTGCAGTGACAGAGTAGAGATGATCATTCAGGTTTTCAGTCTTAAACTAAGGCTGTTTTTCATTCACCCATTTATTTTGCATACTGATGACTCTAAACTTTGTTCTAGAAAGACTAATGTGCTTTATAGAACTTTTTCTCGAGAAGAGTTATAAACTAAAGTTGGAACTGTCTCAGCACATTACTGCAGATTCTCCGGAGGCTGTAAACTCGAGGGAGATTGCCCATCTTTCTGCTGAGTAGTGGCTGGGGGATTCAAACTGTCGGAGAGGTGCTGCCTTTTGGGTTAGCAGTACAACTCACTGCTGACTACACCACCAGAGTTCCTGCCTTAACATATACATGCAGGAAATAAGTGAGGGACTGGACAAAATAGAATAGAAAAAATACGGTGAAATCAGAAGCCAGATGCTACAGATTTTTATTGCTTAGTTTCTTAAAATTGTAAAGGTCTTAAAATAATCTTTCTGGGTATTCACCTAAGAGAGATAAAAGCATATAAATCTTTACACAAATGTTATACTAGCTTTATTTGTAATAAACCAAAATTGGAAAAATTCCAAATGCTCATTAATAGATTAATGAAGAAACAAATTACAGTACAGTCATGTGATAGAATACCACTCAGCAATAAAAATGAGTTGTTGATAGTGTGAGTGAACCTCAAAATAATGCTGAATTAATTCAGACTGAAAAGTGTATATGTTGTAGTTTAATTTCTATAAAACTTTAGAACATATCACCTGTCTTTGGCTAAGTTTTCTAGGGAAAACAGATGCAATATGTGTGTGTGTGTGTGTGTGTGTGTGTGTGTGTGTGTGTGTGTGCACGCATGCACGTGTTTGTGTGTATGGAGCTCTGGGGTCATGAATTATGAATGTAAAGACAAAGCAGTTTACATTCACCAGCTGCTGCTCAGGAGAAATATTGGTAATCTCCTGTGTGATTAACAGCCTCTGAAGACCCACTGTAAGGCCAGCAATGAATTCGTTCTAACTTGAAAGCACATGACTGTCTATTTGTCTGTCTACCTGTTGAAAGAAAGATAGATATTGGTCTTGGAGTCTTGGCTCACCTCACTTCAGCTACTAGTTTACAGGCTGCAGAAACTAATGAATGCCAAGACTAGAAAGTGGCATGGCAGGGCACTGATTCAAGCCCAAGACACAAGTCAACTGATAAGTCAGGTGCAGGATTTTACTGAGCTAAAAGCCAGAGAGCTTTGCCAAGTAAGTGAGTGAGTGTGTGTGTGTGTGTGTGATACAAGCCACTCCCTGGGAAACTTCCAACTAATTGCTGTACCTAGCAGATCTAATGAAGGATGACTACACAGTTGCCAAGTTTGCAATTACTTGCTATGTATCAGAAAGCTGGACAATGAGTAGGGATAGTAGAAGGAGAATTGATGCCTTTGTGCTGTGATGCTGGAGAAGAGTTGATTATACCATGGACTTCTAGGAGAACAAACAGGTTCATCCTAGAAAGGGTGACACCAGGGTGCTTCTTAGAGGCAAGGATTCTGAAATTTCATCTGACATACTTTGGGCATGTTGCAAGGAGGAACAAGCCAGTCCTTGGAGAGAGACATGTTTGGGAGGGTGGAGGGACAGTCCAAGAGAGGAAGACACTCAATAAGATGGATTGATTCAGTGACTAGGTTTTGATAAGCACTGAGGAGCTTTTTTGGAGTTTACTCACTGGTAAGTAGACAGAGTATAGGAATATATTAAGGGCTGATTGACCAGACTGTTCAAGGAAGTGCAAAGACATCCCTTCTATC